CCGGCACTGTGACTTAGTTGTAAAAATTGTTAGGCCTGTTCGTCCTCAAGTTTTATTTTTGTATATATTTAGATTTTAAGCCCAGACGGAACCTAGGTTTTTTTTTTTTTTTTTGTCATTTGTGCTTCTTTTTGGGTTTTTTAAAGTAATATCGCTATCGCTTTTTGTGCACCTCCTCTCACTTCTGGTATTTAGTAAGTGCTCCTTCTCGGGGTGCTGTTGAATTGGTCGAGCTTTATCTGTTCGCTAATGTCCTGTAACTGTATCTTTTCGTGTGTGATATTATGATCTCAGTGTTTGTATTGATAGCTGATAATAAATGTGTGCACTTTTATTTTTTATTTTGTGCGCGAGATTCAGAGTGCTGCATTCTTGCTCATGTATTAACGAGGAGCTGTCAACAGGTGAAGTAGGGGAGTATTAGCGAGGTTAGTTTGGGGTTGTGGGGAGTTTTCGGTGGGATTGAAATGGATTGAGGTGGCAGGATTCAGCTGAGTTTGATGAAGGGGACTATAATTTGTGACTACTAGTGCAGGTCGTTGGCTGTTGTCCAGCGTTGTGGTTCGGAGATGGGGTGTTGTCGGGAGAGCCAGTAGTTGGAGGATTTTCTGTCAGTATTTTTTGGTGATATCAATGTATTTGCAGTCAGTTCATCGACATAGTACGAAGGGGGGGGGGGGGCATTTACGCCTCTGGCACATTTTGGAGAAGCTGTAATTTGCTCGATGGAGTAGTTTTGGTTTGTGATTTTGCTGTGGAAGAGAATTTAGTAAAGTGCGAGCACGGAACGCTGACCCTCTTTTTTATCATTGGTGTTTCCTACGGACGTTGTTTAATACTTTGTAAATTAAACCTTTTTTAATTAGGAGTCTGCACTTCACTTCGGCAGATAGGTGTTTCATTATGTACGCAGAAGGACTGGTTCCGGAAAAGGTTACACACGTTTTCTTATCATTGAGTTCAGCGTATAATTTATGTTACTTTATACCTCCATACTTTTTAAAATTTTTATTTTTGTTTACAACGTAAAATACAAATAAAGTAATAGCATCTTTGGTCCTAATTCTTCTCCAGCACGTTCCTAGCTTACGCAGTAATCGTTGATACAGACAAACCCGGAAGGACATTGGCCTTTGGAGCACTGGCCGCCTAAATATTTAGCAAACTTTGGTCTGCATTTGTCCGTAATAAAATTAGGAAAATATGATGGAGTGAAGTTTAGAGAGTTCACATGTTTCGTTCTGCACGGACCACTGGCCAAAACGTTGAAAAACAAATTAACGCCTCACTTCCATTCAGGCAAAGGTCCTCGGCAGTATCACAGTGATATGGATTCGGACACCCTTTGTTAACACATGGACCAACTGAAGCATCAAGTCTTTTTCAACTTGGTTAATTTTTGCACTTCACTTTTACTTTGTGACTGGCAAGTATTTTTGTTCATTCAAACATTTCTTGAAAACTGTATTTTTTTGCTGATATTGTGGTAACTTACTGGCACTTACGCAGAACTGTGATTGTTGAGCGCAGTGATACCCGGTAGGACATGCGCCATTAACACATACATTCGCTAAAGAAAGTTAAGTTCTAGCTAAAGCCAAAATGTTTTCCAATTTTACTCGAAAAAGATAAGAAGGAATTTTTGTTTTTGAGAGTTTACGATTGGCCTGATTCATTTGTAAAGAAACTTCTGACCTACAGAATTAAGAACGCATCGATCGTTGAGACATTTTGTTCCTTCTACACATGTGCCGTTAACACATGGACCAACTGCAAAGAACTTTTTACATCTTCCTTTGGGGAAAAAGTGCTAAAGTGATCTTGTGGCGTGTTTGTTAGGATGTTCAAGCGGTGTGAAGGCAGATCTTACTTTGTATTGTGTGGATTAGGCAAGTTGGTGAAATTTGGTTATGGAGTTAAAGTTTTCGTTGCATATACTGAATGAAGTGGGAAAATCGTTATGATTTCCTCAGATGCGATATCACCGGGAAACATTGCTCACCTACTACTGCAGCGGCGTTGACGACGAGAACTGAAAAAGTTGTTTTTTTCGTTCGAAACTGAAGATGAGAAGTGACGATTAAATTTCACGTCAGAAAATGTGATTTCGCGCCGAGGCCGAAGTTTATTGCACTGACCTGCAAAGGCGATTGTCGATTTGAAGGTATGCATCGTGTAGCGTTTTGCGGATATTGGGGTTTTTCATCGTCTTTATACCGCGATCTCGTAACTGAATTTTGGTTCCATAAATGAAGGAACGGAGATAGGGTTTTCGTATTTGCTTATTAATGTGGATTAAAGTTGTTGGTATTTGTGAACTGTGTAATTATAAAGGATTAAAAAAAAGAATGCCAATTATTTCTAGCTTTTTTTCTGAAAGTTTTTTTTGTTCAGATCTTTCTCTAGGATATTGGTTTGGAGTTTAAAAGATTTTTTTAATTAAATTTAATCTTTTTATTCTTTATTTTTTGGAAAACGGCTGTTGTTAAGGTAAGAATTTCGTTGGTTCCTTAGTCATTTCTAGCCAATCATGAATTTTTTGTTTATCTAGAGTTCTGTTGAATTTGAGTTGAGAACTTCTGAACATTTCGATGGTGAGAGAAGAGCTAGCTTATACGAGTTGCTTGATTTCCCAGTGGAAGGCATCTTAGAAAAGCAATTACTGTTGTTACTGTTGCAGTTGTGGTCGACCACCTCGTATTAATTGGGTGTTGAAAATTCCTCAGTTGAGGTTCTGCGTTATGGCTTGTTAAATATTCCATTTATGAACGCGAAATGAAAGCTTTTGGTTGTTTATTCATGCAGAAAAGGTTTTTTCATGACCAAGTGATTAGAAAATTACAATACAGTAATTGCGAGGTATTGTTTAATAGTTGTAAATGTTTTGATATATGAAATTAACAGTGTCTGTTTGTGAAAAAAGTTGAGTTTTTTGACAGACGAATTTGGAACTGCAGTGACAGTTTTTGCAGTGCTCATTGATACGATATATATAGAGGTAAACCCGGACGTTCTTCTACTTTTATTTTTTCTTTCAAAATGTAATGAGGAATTGGAGCAAGAAGGAGTGTGTTTGAGTGCTGTAAGTGTCGTTTGCATTAAGGTTTCTTGATGCTAATTTTACTTAAGTTTCGTCATTAACTGAAATCCATAAGAGCAGAGAGCTGATTAATGTTGGAGACTTTAGGCCTATAATTTTCACCACTCTGAAATTGAATAAGTGGCTGAGAAGTTTTTATTTTTGCTTGCAGAAAGTCTGAAGTTGAAAAGTTCTGCTGTCAGTATTTTTAACTGGTTTTCTCGTTTAATTCTTCCACTTTTCAGACCGATATTAGCTTTTTCAACTTTCATTTACTTTACACTGTTGTTGCAAGATGTTGCTTCAAATTTATTTCAATTTCGTCCCGCATACTCTTAACGTTGTACTTTTTTTGCGCATTTATTGCTTTATAACGATTGTTTCTGCAACAACAAATTTTGCGGTCAAAAAAAATCTCTTTCTTGACTTCCGATCTGTAGTCGTTGGTATCATGAATTGATTTTTTGTTTATTTTCTAGAAAGTGTTCTTTTTAGGCAAGCGCTTTTTCCATATTTAGTTTATTTGGTAAAGCTATTCCTGAAGTAAGATGAACAGGCGAACGGCTTAGCTTATAGTATCCTTGGTTTCCTAACACTGAAATCATGGAGCCGGAACCCAGTGAGGTTCTTGCGAATGCCGATTCCGGAGTACGCTTTATATGTCTTTAATTGGTCTGTTACTCCGGCACTGTAAAATTAAAACCTTTCAAGTATTGCTAAAAATAATTGTGGTTTATGTTTCACATTTTTTATATGTGCCTTGTTGTCGACGTTATTGAAAGAACTGTGAAGATCGCTAAAAAAGAGCATGGAAATCCGGATTATCTGGATTTACAGTCATTAACGGGTAATTCAAATTGTCAAAATTTGTTTTTTTTTTTTTTTTGTTGTCAAGGAGTATTAGTATTAGTACATTCAATTTTTTAAAATGAAAAGTATTCTCAATTGTTAGTGGCTATAGTTTTTTAACACCATTAAAAATTCGTCCTATTCAGTCCCTACGTTCTTTTTGTAAGCAACCGAATAAGATTTTGGGTATCTAATTTTCTGCTTTTTTGAATGGTTCAAGAATATCGGTTTATATATTATGATTCAGGTGACCAGCTTGCTAATTTTGGTGTGAGGATAGCAGAAGCAGACCTTGTGGATGATGACTACATACGTAAGAATTTTTTAGTAGGGGTTTTTGAAAGTGTTTGTGATTCTTACTTTTTTCTCGTTAGTAAAAGCTAGGGATTACAACAATCCTGATATGCTAATGGGTCATTTAGATGAAATTTAACTATTTCATGAGGTTTTTGCAGACTGCGAATTGTGTGATGCGTATTATCATTCTTCCTGCCGTCTTCATCCGCTCTTCCTAGTCAGTGATCGAGAAGTATGCTTTCAGTTGTTTTTTGAACGTTTACTTTCTTTTTATGAATATAGGTCTGAAGAATCATTGTCTTTATTATTTATTTTTCTGGTGGGGTGAGATGAATTTGCTGAGAAGTTAACTGTAGTAGTAGACATTATTTTTATCATTATGAATTGTTTTGGAGAGCTAGCCTCTCTACCGAACAAAGTCCTGGCTTCTGTCGAGATTTGAACCCAGACTTTTTTAATCATCAGATCAAAGGAAATAATAGAAAGAAACTTATGACTTCAGGTCCGTGAAGAGACTAGGCCACGAGATGAACAAACTTTGCCGGCTTTTTTTGAAATCCGGGCGTCAAAAATACCAAAAGCGGGTCTTGGTGTATTTTCCAAAGTTGATGTGCCAATTGGTCTTGTTTTTGGACCTTATCAAGGTTAGCAGTAGACGGTGTTTCTGGTAAGTGGGCGCTAAGATAGTTTTTATGTGGAAAGCATCTTGGTTTGATATAGCAAACAAACTTTGTTATGGGGATCTGTTTAGGATTGTTACTTACGGATTCCAAAGAGGCAGATCAGCAAGGGTATTCATGGGAGCTTCGTTTAGAAGGGAAGCCTTCTAAATATGTTGATGGCAGTAATCGATATTATGCGAATTGGATGCGCTTTATCAATAGTTCGAGATGTAATTCTTGTGCTTTGTCATGAACCTTTTACTTTTGTAGTACAGCGTTAAAAGAAAATGAGTTTTTACTGATTACTGTATGTCCAGCAGGCTGTACAATTTTCTTTTTTCTGCGATGAATTTCAATCAGTTTTAGTGATTTTACAGTTGAAAGTGAACAGAACTTGATAGCTTTCCAATATAACGGCAGTGTTTATTATCGAGTATTCCGTCCTATCAACGAAGGAGATGAGCTTTTAGGTCGTTTGCATTTTAGTCTTCTTAGTTAGCGGGATTTCTTTTTGAAGCGTCAGAAGTTTGATATCTCATTGTAATCTTTACAGTTTGGTACGGTAAGAAATACGGAGAAAGTCTGGGTGTTTTAAGCGTTACTCAGAAATCGAAGAAACCAATTTTACCCATTTCGAAGAATCCATTTGTTCTTTGATTTTAATGCCATTTACGAAGGATGAAGATCCCTTATAAATTGTCGATGTTTTCTTTTCGTTATACAAATGTTATCACAGTTTTTTATGCAGTGCTTGCTTTTTCCATTGGAAATTAAATGAGCACTTTGAAATTTTTGTGAAGGAATGCTATGGTTACCAAGAAGCTTTGATTTTTACTGCCTGTCTGCTGTGTTTTTAGAGGAGATTATATTTTTAAGTGCTTATGATTAAAATTTTGTGTCTTCTTGTTAAAGATATATTTTGAAAAATCTTAATGCTGTTGAGCTGCAACTAATTTAGTTTAGTCTTTTTATCTCTTCTTCGAAAACCCTATTGTTTTTAAAAATCTGAGAATGATTTGTTGGATGTTCAAAATAAACTTAGCTGTCGCTGAAATTTGAATGACTCAAATAAACCAGTGAAATATTGGTGGTTTTGCGAACACTATATCGGTATTGCCGGAAACTTGTCCTTCGAGCTTATCGGCGCGTCTTACTGTGGCCTACGGCAGCAATTATGTCTCAAGGGGTTCTACATCTTTGATGTAAATTACTTGAGGGTGGTAGGTCCTTTCATTGTGGTGGCATCTTAAAAACATGATTTTTTTGGGGACCCCGTGATGTTTGCTTTTAGGGGTCAGTTGCTGACGGCACTTTCGAGAAATGGTTTTTATGATGGTTATGTTTGTTCAAGATGTCTTCAATTTTGCCTAATTGTTTCGGTCTTAGGTGATGAGCGCTCTACAGCGGCAAATCTTAGGAAGAAAAGGTTTGCCTCCTATTGGCGAAGCGGACCAATATGTGGCACATGAAAACGCGTATGCTTTTCAAGACAAGGTTTCAACAAAAAAAGATGTTGGGCCGGAGCAGTGGCTGTTACCGCGTGTTTTAATGTTAAATGTTCCTTAGATGCTGAAGTTCTTTTGTTGTTTATTGGTGTATTTAAATGTTGTTTAGAAGTACATCGGAATCATTATATTCGCTGAAGAGACATCCAGTTGATGTCAGTCCACTTCATTGGGATGCATTTTTTGACAAGAAAGACATTTTGGAAATTGAGGATGATTCATTCTGTGTGTACAGCAAGGGGGACAGTGGACCTGTTTTTTACCTTCTGCATGGTGGTGGTTATTCTGGTTTGACGTGGGCGTGTTTTGCGGTAAGTGTTTTTTTTTCTTTTTTTTATAGCGCCATAGATAGTGGCATCGTTGGCCTCCCTGTTTGGGTTCTTGCTTGAAGCATATCTTTTTAGAAGTTGTGCACCTGCTCTAATTCCTTGTTATAGGACTCCCTTAGCAAAGAAATTGATTGTCGTATCTTAGCGCCTGATCTTCGTGGCCATGGTGAAACCGAATGTAAAGATGAAACTGATCTATCGGTCGAAAGACAGGTCAATGATGTAATCAACATCCACAAAACATTTTTTAAAAATGAAAATGTCCCGACAGTCTTAGTTGGTCATAGGTGTGTTTTGCTGTAGTTATTTCTTAGCTCCCAACAACAGTTAATTATCTGCAGTTTTTTTAGCAAGTTAAATTTCGGCTTTAACTTGTATTTTTGTTTATAGCATGGGTGGGGCCTTAGCTGTCCACGCTGCAGCATTAAATCAGTTACACACTGCAGCTGCATTATGTGTCATCGACGTCGTTGAAGGAAGTGCGATGGAAGCGCTAAGTAGGATGCGTCCATTCTTGAGTTCAAGACCTCAAGATTTTTCTTCAGTTGAAGGTTTTAGAGCACATACTCTTAGATACCAAATTACCTAATCTATGATATAAATACGCGTTTGGCCATTTTAATTCAACGTTTCAGACTACCGTTTTTCAAGATCATCTAAATAAGAAAAAATATGATTTTTCAGCAGCTATCCATTGGTGCTTACAAACAAAGACGGCAAAAAATGTAAAAGCTGCGCGGATTTCAATGCCCTCACAGATCAGAGAAGTCAATGGGGTACAGCATAATCGTTTTATAGTGCAATCAATTATTTGCGTATAATTTGTTTCTAATTTGATGTGAAATTTTTCGGGAACGAAGTACTTTTTCTTACGGAAAGAATCCCAGCGGCCTTGGCACAATGCCACTTTGTCATGTGGAGGTACCTGAAGGCTATCCGAGTTACTTGTTTAAGGTATCCTAAACTTTTAAGCCATCTCTGTTCGCGATTTTTTACCCACTGCACATTGTTTGTTAATTTTTTTAACTCTTTATATTTACAATTTCTTGCTTTCATTTTGTCTTTCAGCCGAAATGTGAGAGTAACTTTGATTTTTACATATCCTTTCTACAGTTTAGCTGTAATAACTTTGTTAAGTGCCCCTATATCGTAGTTCTTGTTTTGATTACTGTAACCTACGTTTAAAGCAGTTTAAGGTGTAATTGAACGACAATTTAGTTGAAATAGAGGCCCATGAAACGACACGAGAAATGAATAGTAAGATTTAAAGAGCTAGATACAGTATTTTTCCGCTTCCCCGTTACTCCTTCCTATTTCTGTCCAATATTTGCTACTTTTCAAGTAATGTTTTTTAAAGTTTTTTCATTTAGAAAGAGACTGTATTTCTCCTGTAATTTCATGGACTTCTATCTTGGCTAACTTGTCGTTCACAATCGATTTTACACCCCACCTTCTTAAACTACTTTAAACGTAGATTACAGTAATTAAAAAACAACTCCGACACATGGGCAATTAACAAAGTTATTCCACTTATTATTAAAAAGTATATGGGCCATTCCATGCCAAGCCGCAGACTTTTGTCAACTGACCTCTCAGACTATCCGTTTTTTGCCTGTTTATAACACTTGATACCGGATTGTGAAATCAAAAGAGTTTGCCTAAAAAAGTGCGATAGCGACGAAGTTAGACCGTTCTGAAGTGCGAAAAAAAGCGATTTGCCTTGAAGGTGGTTACTTTCAAGTACTTTTAGCTTTTTTCAATCACGATGGATTTTTAAATTTTTGCCTCATTTGAAAGCCTATCTCTTGTGGACTTAGGAAAATAGCGAGAAATATATATTAAAAAATTCTTATTAAGGTTAAAAGAAAAACGGAAATGCGGAATGTTTTCCTTTTCAAAATTACATTTAAAATTTTTCAAAAGAGGCCTGTTTTTTGAAGGAATAATCTTTACACAACATATCCAAATCGCAAGGTGGTGCCTTTTTAGCAACACTAGTAACGGTGCGATTAGTGACAGCAAACCGCAAAAAACCCCCCTAATTGAAGCAGCATTTTGGCGTTTTCGCAAGTGAAAAAGTTTCTGTTTCAACTAAAAATTTATTAATTATAATAATGTATAATTTTTTTTACTTTTAAACAACTTTACAAATTTTTTTAGAAAATATTGCTATTATGACTGCTTTTTCGATCTGAATCGCTTAGCTTTTTTATTAAATTCTTCAAACCCAAATATTTCACCTCCTACTGTTTTTTGACTGTGAGTACTGTCTTGCTACTCCTGTTCCCAGTCTTTTGTAGTATAATGCAGTGGAATTTTTCATACGTTTGACTGGTGAATCTACTCGAAAACGCTGTGTTTGAAGTGCTCTCTGCTTTCCATATTCTTGTGGAAATACTCAAATCACTAGCACTTTTCTTCATTAGTTCCGAGCCCATTTGTAAAGATCACTGGGAGTTAGAATTAAGATTGAAAGTGTTGCTTTCATGTCGGACATCGTTGCTGGTCTTCTCAATGTACCTGCAACTTTTGAATTAATCCACTGCTGCAAAAGCGATAGAATAAAAAATACTTGCAGTCAAAAAACAGTGGTTGGTGTGAAATATTTGAGTTAGAAGAGCTTTATAAAAAGCTAAGCGATACAAACCAAAAAATTAATCATAATAGCAATTTTTTCTAAAAAACTTTGTGAAGTTGCTCAAAAGCAAAAAAAACTTTAATTGGTTACTCATTACTGAAGTAGTAAAGTTGAAGAATTTTGTAGGAATTATATATATTACTATAATTAATAAAATTGTTGTTGGAAGAGACTTTCAGTTGCGAAGGCGCCAAAATGCTACTTCAATTAGGGGGGGGGGGGGG